CCTTCACGCTCTCCTTGGCCCCCTGCACCCTCTCGGAAGCCTTATCCGCCGTTTCTTTCGCGGTCGCCTTCGCCTTCTCAGCCGTCTCCTTGACGCTCTCCTGTGCTTTCCCAACAGTCTCCTTCGCACTCTCCTTCGCCCCCTGCACCGTTTCGGAGGCCGTGTCCGCCGCCTGCTTCGCTCCCTCCTTAACTCCCTCAGCCTTGTCAACGACTGCCTCCTTCGCCTGCAAGGCCTTTCCCTCCGCCGTCTCTTTCGCCCTCACCGCTGACTCCTTCGCTCCGCCGAGCGTCTCGCTCGTCTTGTCATAAACCAAGTGAACCGCGTCCGACGCGCGCTTCTCTACATTGTGAACTGTGTCCGAGGCGCGCTTTTCCAGATTGTGAACTGTGTCCGATGCGCGCTTCTCCAGATCGTGAACCGTCTCGACAGCGGCGTCCTTCAGCTCGGTCGCTTTCTCGACGACGGAGTCCTTGGCACCGACCACCTTGCTCACGACGGTGGCCTCCGCTGCCTGGAGAAGAGACGTGGCCTCTTCAAGGAATGCTCCCCACGACTCCAACTGGGAAAGGAGACGTTGACCCCAACGTAATCAGCCTCAGAAACAAAACTACCTCAAGAAGTCGGCCAATATCGCAAAAACAACTGTGACTGCAATCAGCCGTAGCGACTGCAATACGAAGCAAGATGGACACTGCAAATTCGAAAGTCAATTACAATATGCATCCAGAGACCAAACGCCTAGACGACTCTTAAGCTTAAACCGAGAGAAACTGGCCCTAAACTTCTGTTTTCCAGTTACTTGCAACAGAGTCCTTCAGAGAACGATAGTATCATTCTGTGACCAACCAGCCTGTTGCAGCCACATCTATAAGTGTGACGTAACCAACTCCAGTATATTTCGGCCCCCTCAATCAGAAATTCTATTGCCCCAGCAACAGTAAGCTAAGCCCATCCAACAAATCATTATACAAACACTAAAGTTCGACTTCCCTGACGCTGATTCTCCCCATATCAGCCACCCCGGTAATCGAACACACAGCCTACGCTGTCACATCTTCTTTGAAACAAAGAGGAGATGCACTTGCACCCTTTGAATTAGAAAACCAGGAGCAGAAGTCAAACTCTTGACAAAGCACACACAACCAAACATTGGGCAAATCAAGAATTCGCCAGGACACTCACCTCAGCCTTGCGCGCAGCTTCCTTCCTCGCGCTCCCCTCGCCACCAGCCGGCTTCTCCGCAGCCAGTGCCCCCTCTTCCTTTGCGTCATCTGCATCCAATACCGGGGCATAATACTCGGGATTGGCTTCCATACACTCCTTTAGCGCACGGGTCGGGCCCGTGCATTTGGTCACAATGTCCTCTTCGTCTTTGTTTGCGGTGTCCACGCACTTCTCCCAGTCGCGGAAGGCCTGCCCGCAGGGGCCTGCCTTCATGAAAGCGCAGAAAGGGCAATCATCGGCATCTTCTTCTGCTGGGGGGGCCTCTGGCTCAGCGCCGCCGTCTGTGACAGAAGCACACGAGCAGCTTTTACAAAATGCTCCTAAAGTTATGTGCCTAAGTAAGCCCCCTTTCTGGGGAGGGTGCAGAAACTTGAAGATGGCACAGAATCTGTGACGGAAGTACAAGAGCAGCTTTGACAAAATGTTTTAAAAAAATACGATTAAAAAAAAGTGAGCGTCTCTTCTGAAGGAAAAGGATATGCTGACGCGATTGCACAGAATCTGAGGAGTGGTGGTGTGACAGGAACACACGAGCAGCTTTTACAACATGCTTAATCAGTTGTTTCTCCGAGCGATAAGCCCCTTCAGAGGGGCCGGAGACGATGTTTCAAAATTGCACAAAATCTCTGAGGAGGGGCAGAAAAGGGGAATTCGAAGAGACTGCCACAGGACAAGATACGGTGAAGAGAATGACTTTTAAGTGGACCTTCTGGAGACTCAGAAGATGTTGTAAAGGGACTTGACACGACAAAAACAAGTACGAAGTAAGGTGGCTTGCAACATAGCACCACTGGCAGTCAAAAGTTGCTAAAGAGATCCGTTCAATCCTGGTAGCAATAGTGCCAATGACTCCTTTGAGAGTCTTGGAGAAAGGCACACAACCAGAGAGGTAAAAGCACAAGCTTGTGTTATACAATGCTGAACTGTCTCTACACAATGCTGAGCTGTGTCTAGGTTCAAAGAATATGCTTGGAAATTATGGTTCCTATGGAAAAGACTCGAGACACCAAACCAGATTCAAAGAGAGATTGAGCGACAACATCAAGATGCCCACTGCTGAGTTAAAGTATTACTCAGATTTCTGGAAGGAATCAGGGAGCAGAAAGTTCCTGATATTCTGTCGAACTTGCGAAGGTAATGAACTAGACGATGCACCAGACTGCTTTGGGGTAAATTACAAAGGTTGCTTCGTATTTCAGCCACCCCACAGACCTTGCGTTTGCATCGACCTTAATCTGGTTTTCAATATCTTCAAACAAACAGCTGGTCAATCATAGGAGGCAGTGCTGAAAATCAGAGATGGGGAGTTTTGATGATGATGGACAAATGATGGACGAGCCATTACTCCAAGAGCATCAATGGAAGCCACTGTCTGGACAATATAAAAGGCAGTTGTTTTTAAGAGATGGACTTCTGGCAAACCAAGGATATAACTCAACTATCAAGACCTAATCTGTCTCACGTACCTGATCAACTCCTAAAGATTTGTGGAAGCAGGATCTGGATTTCACATCCGAAATCCCTTGTACACGGTCAAAACAAAAGGAATAGCAGAGCGCAGAAGAAAGATGCAGCCAGGGGACTTTGTGGACTAGGGCAAAAACAATACCTGCAAAGTCACCAAATTGCACCGATCAAACAACATTGCAAGCTTGATGCAGACATGTCAGAGTCTAGCGCACATCTCCTCTAAGTGTGCAGCTCGAAAACCATGTAGGCAGCAAGTAAAGGACTGTAGAAGCAATGGCACTGATGCACGAGCGCATCTATGATGAAGCCATGGTAAAGGTGCAGTATTCACCAGCAGCTTCTCTCTGATCAAGAAGGAAGATTTGCATGCAGGCTTCGAAGTTGAAAGCAGTACATTGCCTTGCTTGAGAATACTTAAACTCTCGCAGGGATCCAGCATTGTGACACTCCAACTCCTTGAAGCTCATTGTAAACTCACTCACAATGCACATCAAGACGGCCAAAGCCCTCTGTGAAGAATAAGCAGCCAAAGGTGCCGAAACTGATCCAGAAAGGAAAATGTGGCATATCTATAAGGCGTCAATAGATAAGCTGCTCCTGAGTCACTCAATCATGATAGATAGTTTGGCAGATTGTGTACAAGCAGGGAGGGCAAGCCAGACAAAGCTTTTCAATGATGATCACCTGAGCGAGGTGGCGCCTCAGCCAATACATGCACAGCCACCCCCGTCGTCAAGGCTCCTGCCAGCAACGAAGCGCCGCCCAGGCTCGGCAACCTTCTGTTGGGATGCTCCCGGTTCCTGGTCTGGGAAGCATTGTCAGCCCCCCCCGATCCTTCCCCAGCAACCGCGGCTCTGCGGAGAAAGGAACCGGCTCGTCCCTGCTGAAGCGACCGGTGGATCAGCCCCAGGGTGCGCTGTGCAACTGGGCGACTCATCGTGGATTTCGTCGGTAGATCTCCCGAAGCCCTCTTTCAGGTTTGAAATAAAGCTTAGAGGCAAAATGGCGAGGGGAGACTACCGACAAGCACTGCCGAGGAGGACAACCACCATGGGGTGCGCGTCTCTTCAAGTTCAACGCCTTGCTAGGTTCCAATGCCAATGCCACTGATGGCAGAAGAACGAGGAACTTGGAAGACGAGCAGGTCAAGCCCTGCCAGCTGGATACCATCGAGATTCCTCGCCTGCAGTGCATGCTAGAACTTGACACTCTTGTTCAGAGTAGTACTGGATAATATTGAGACCCAGCTTCTCAGGCAGTGTCAACTGTGCTGCTGTGCCCGAGCCATGTGAGATGTTAGCCGTCGATCCAAAACACAAGCAGGACCATGAACGGCTTCAAACGTGCAATACAGTAACATCCTCGATGCAATCGTAGCCGTTCGCTTCTTGTACGATTAATTTGCACCTTCAAGCAGTACCCAGATAGAATCTTTGCCAAGCCTAGTTCATCGTCCTGACGGCCCGCTCAGCAAAGTCACGGACTTCATGCAAAACCCAATATCGTTATTGCAAACACCGTTACTGAAATCAGCCGGGCTACATCATTATGATAGAGGACGCCGAATTGTTGATTTTTGATCTTTCATGATATATTTGACGTCCGGACCACTCGTAGTTCGACTAAACATGAGCTGAAGACGGTCTATGCTGACTTACCATTTTGACATGCACTATCACTTTCGTGCGGCTCCAACATATCCTTCGGTAGACTAGGCTATCAATAAGGAATGGAGACGTGCAACATTACAGAAACATCTAGCTTCCTACAGTTGCGACGTCTCCTACAAAGGAATATTAGATTGCGCCTGAAGACAAAGGCTAGGGCGAACTTTAGGATTTCAAAGTTAAGCCGAAACAAGATGGTCAAGAATGATTGCACAAACAAGGAAGCAGTGAAGTGTAGGAAAAACATCCCCAACAGTGTTCGAGCAGAAGGCCCAAGACTGTCCATTGATCAGAAATTCGTAACAAGGTCTCATTGCAACTTGAAAAGAGACGCATCAAATAGCAGCTTTACAGCCCTAGACATCATGGTTGTTAAGAACTTCACTATTGTTGGATTCTCATTGGTTCGGGTGGTTTTTCACTCGGGCTTGGCCGACTCGTGGCCGCAACCCTAGCTTGGGCATCTGCCGGGCTAAGAGCACCGGGTGGCGCTGGCCCCATCTGCTTTTTATAGTCGTTCAGAACTGGGTAGATATTTTCGAAAGCCTTGTAAATCTCGTCTCGTTGCTTGGCGCCCGTGAGAACGACTTTGCCCGACACGAAGATAAGGAGGACAATCTTTGGAGACCGCATCCGGTAGATCAGACCAGGGAACAGCTCCGGCTCGTAGTTTGAAAACATCTGATGGGCGTACGCTAGACCTTCTAATCGGATGGGAAATTTGACGTCACAGGACGCAACTATATTTTGGATTTTGAAGTCCTGCAAAACGACAGCAATGCATGCTTCAATTCTACATCAGATCATGGGCATCGGATGATCGATCATTGCAAGCAACGAATCCGGGTACACGCCTTTGTTGCAAATGTGCAAGAGTCGATCTGAGGGAAGGCGGATGTGTCCAACTTTGGAACCTCCTAAAAGATGCAAGCAGTCAAGAATTTGGATAAGGATTGGACTTCCAGAAGGTCGATAGATCCTTCTGGAATTCTTATAAGCAGACAGCACAATAGCCAAATAGAACAGAGATAAGAGCAGGGAGTCTCACTTTGAAGGTGACGGGGAACCCGAGCTTTTGGACGATTCTTGCGTACTGCAGCAGACGGCAAAACGAGCCAGTGAGTATAAAAAAGCCCCTCACTCAGATGCGTTCAAGAAAGTAGCAACAGAGAAACAAGGAAGGGGGAAGAGAGGGGAGGGGACAAAGAAGCGAAAGGCAGGCACTCCTAAAAGCAGTGAAGACATCCTCTCTTCGATCACGTCATAAGGCCTTCGAGCAAGACAACCAGGATTTGCAAGCAGACAAAACTCACTTTCCGAGCGGCAGTCCTGGCATTCTCCTCGCTTTTTGCGCCAGTACACACCTGCAAAAGGACAGATACGAGCGGCTAAGCGATCCTCAACGGGTCCGACTGCGACCTGCAACGGCAACTACGTTTTCGAAGTTGAACGACAAAACTGCTCATACCCGTTAAAATCGTCCGAACACTGCTTGAAGATCATCAACGCATACATCAAAAGCACTGAGCTACGGGCTTGATCGCTATGCAGCGCGTCTGCACAAACCCCTCACAAACCGCCACGAACAGACGAGGCCTTCTCCACATCATGCTATCGGCGCTAGACAGGTCTGCGGCACCAGTGCTTTCAAGCAATTTCTGACGTCTTCGATTGCATGACGAGCTGTTCAGCTTGCTCTGAAGTTTGCCTCTTGTCAACCACTTTTGTCAATCAAGCGGCCCAGAAATTAGGAACATACGGAAGTTGATTCAAAGAGCGAGCATCGATTGGGGTAGCAGGGACACCTGCTGCCCCAAACATCACTCAGTTGAGACACTGGTGACTCACCATCTTGCCTGAGGCAAAAATCAGGGCCGTCGTTTTTGGCTCTCGTATCCGAATGATCACGGCAGCAAACCGCTGCACAATATCCACGAACGCACTGTCAAAAGTTTGCGGAAGCTCCAGCAAACGGTCGTTCTCTTTGCGTGGGATGCGCAGATGCTTGCGCAACGCCTCCAAGATTCAAAACGTGCAAGGAGCGTGCAATCCAATTTTGCTCACGTTTGAGACCACCATAAACCAAAACTAAACTAAGGGCAAGCTTCGCTGACATTCTTCAGTGTCTTTGCCTTCTGAGACAATCTGGGCCAGTTCGACAGGAGTAAGGTGAGGATACAAACACCGTTCTTTGGCGAATCCAAACATACTGAGCAACCAACCACTGCACAAGCCGGACCCTCCGGTACAAAGTTGTAACAAAACAATTGATCTTCTTAGAGCTTCCAACTGGAGTAAACTGGGCATGACCCCAGATGTTAACAAATGCTGTTTGACAACACCCTATGCAGAGTTTGCGCTCACCTTTGGATTGTACTCAGCATTGCGCGCCTGCATGGCAATGGCCTTGAGGTCCAACTGGCAGCCCATATTCGCCGTGGCTACAATATTCCTGGACGAGTGATGCAGGACAGTCAGACCAGATGCAGGACAGTCAGACCAAAAACCCTAAAGATTCTTCATCTCTTAGACTGCATGAACTTGTTCAGCACAAGTGCTGCTGTCAGAGCTTAACGCTTCAGTTGAACCACAGTAACGACGCATTCAGGCCAATCCTCAATTCCGAGGATTTGGAGAAACAGCTTGCAAACTGATTGCTTTCAACAAGTGCTAGCATCCGCACTCACTGTAAAGTTGGGATGATTCCTGAGGGATGCTTCTCGGCATCGACCTCCTCATTCCCTTCCAAGCTTGCAGGGGGTGCAGCGGACGTGCTAGCCATGATCTCGCTGCTAACCCCCCGCCACTAATTCGCTCCGCAAGATTGCTGTCCCTATCTTCTCAGAGTCTTCAGGAGGACACTCCCAAAATCACCACATGTAGCTAGACCCAGAACAGCTGCCGTATTCTAGCCGCAAGATTCAATTTTCCCCCTGAGATAGCTGAGAATGCCAACGAGAATTCCCCTGCCTTAAAACCTTAGACCCCCTTGCTTTGGAATCGCATACCACCGTCTCTGGCAACACTTATTCTAGATCGAACTTTCTATGCACTGAATAGCTAAGAGACAAGCGCTCTGTCGCTAGACGCTACCGGAATGCTTGACTTTCGTCATTGTGGCCCCACCAGAGGACTTGTCCAGAGAACAGCTCTCAAATACAAAGCTTGAATTCGGGGCCGAAAGAGCGGCCCGATCACCGGACGCTGCGCAAGCGCACAAACTCTCTTAACCTAGTTTGCTCTGATCCAAGTTCCCAAAGGCCTTGAACCCTCATCGCAGGCTGTCATGCAGCGCTGAAAGTACGAAAGCAGGCTGTTGACAGCGGCACCCTGTTGGCAGGCGCCCTGAGCGAATCATTCGCTGCTCAGCCCTGCTGATTAGGTAATCAGGAAATGCTGAAAGTGTTTGCTCCTCATGCGTGTCTACGCCGACGGTAGATTTCCCCTTGAAAGCGCGAGCGCGTGTGTGCAAGATCGCGGTCGCGTGACTCTGTCACCATCTCAAAACAGAGCTCCGTCATGTCAAACCGTATTTTCAAAACCAAGTTGTCAGTGACCGGGTGAACACAGCATGCAGCGCACCGACCCACGCGATGTTTGGCAGTTCGGCTGCTCGGTACCGTTTAGCTAACCCCTTGCGAACCGAACCTATGGTTATCATGATGTAACCCCTTGTGCAGCAATTTAGTTTCTAGGGTTGAACAGCTGTGCAAATCTGGTTTCTGCACACTTGCCATGGCGGCAGGGTGAGGAAGCTTCAGCCTTCACCATTGGCATCACGATCTGTCTTCGGCTCTGAAAGGATTGTTCAAATCTTAGAAGCCATAGGTATTGCTGGTGGCTGGCTTCGACAAAGATGGAAGGAGGAGCTTCTGTTTTGACTGACGGGGTTCATTGTTCATGGACACAGCAAGAAATTGAGAAGTGGTGAACAAGAAGCAGAACCAATAGCTTTGAGGCAGGATGGCAGGATCTCGTCCGCTGATTGATCTAGGCGACTGGGGATTGGACCCCCCTCCACCAGAAGCAGCACCGACGCCCCACTTTCACAAAAGCAAGGTCGTCCTGCCCCCGCCACCGGAAGGCCCTCCTCGGAGGAGACGCTCCGAGCCGTCTCTCTTCCCGCTCGCGACAAGCCCTGTTCAGGATGCGCCAAAACAGGGGGTCCAGTCGTTTGCCGCGCTTGATCTGCTCAGCGACTCAGTGCCTCTGGCTGGCCCCCCTGCCGGCAATCCCTTCTTGAGTGCAAATGGGAGCACCCCCTTGAATCAGAGCACCGGCGCGTACCCGGGGTACCGCGATGAGGCGGTCAGGCGGAGCTACGACGTTGCGCACACGCCTAGTTCTCGGACGTCTCATTCGCTGCCTCCTAGTATGCTGAGCTCAAGGGACGATCTCTTAAGCAGTCAGGCTGCGCCGAGGAACCCTAATGAGCAGTCAATAACCCTTTCCAATGGGGTGGGAATTGCCCCTCCGTCCCGGGTGCGCTCCAAGAGCCCGCTCCCCCCCCTCAGCAGAGATGCCCCCCCTTTAGCAGATCCGTCCAGCCTGCCCCCCCTACCATCCCCCATTTTGTCAGACTCCCCGCACTTGCCACCAAATTTTGGCCAGGCCCGGTCGGAGCCCGCTTCTCTGGCATCCTCCGCTTCGTCGTTCCACGGCCCCCCTGTAAATAGATCCACCGACTTCGCCTCCAGGGGGGGTACCCCCAGCAGCTCAGGCATACCCCCCATTGCACGGCGGTCGTCCCCGATGCGTGCCTCTGCCCCTGCTGCCGACTCCATTGACAAGCTCTTTGCGACCCTAAGCGGGCAGCGACAAGGAGACGGCCTCGCAGCCCCCCCCGTGCCACGGACGGCCTCCCTCCCGGGGGCCACCGCAAGCAGCAATCCCTTTG